AGCAGGGCTTCCTTCGCTTGGTCCGAGATCAATACCCGCCTATCTAGTTCCCGTAGGAGAGCTCGGTGTTGTAGTAACAAGCCTTGTACCAGGCGGCTGCGTACTGCGGCCTGGGGAACCACCCTTCGAACTAAGGTCATCATTCCGATGATCAACATTAGTTCTCAGAGGGACACTGAAGGAACGCTGACTAGGTGTTCGGCTAGGCTGCTTAGCGCCAAGCAACACGCTTGAAATACCAAGCTTACCTATGTGTCAAACTCCATGCCCAGGAACACCAACTGTTGTGTTGGGTAGGGATGGGACTTTGTCTGATTTACTAAAGAGCCCAACTGGTGAAGTAAATCCTGTGTTAGCCTTACTTGCTCGGCAATAACCCCCTGGTAGAGTTACGTAATAACCAGTCGTCTAGGTCTGGATTGATGTATACTAACGTTTGGTGAAGCAGCAGCACGACCTGTTCCATCCATTTCGGTGGAACGTAGGGAGCTGTGCATAACCCAAAGAAGGAAGGCACCCGAGATTCAAATACTTGACCCAGCTGGGTGATTCGAAGGAGAGGGCAACTCGCCGGGTGCATCAGTTTGTGCAGGTCGGCCCCACTTAAGTCTAGTGGGGCTAGCCAGTCGAAACGATGGATGGAGAGAAGAACGCTGAATGGTGTCTCCATGCAAAACCAATCGAGGAGCACGTACTGATTCAGTCTGCCTAGGTCCAAGCATAAAATGAACACAACATGCATGAGGGAAGCGAAAAACAGTTGGAAACGGTGATGCAACGAAACCAACAAGTGAAATCAACACATGGTAAAAATGACAAGGAAAACTTATCCTACCAGCTACAATGTTGGTTACCGCACCACGGTAACAACCCAAGCCAGAAACCCAAACAGGAAAAGGCAGGCCATGCAGGCAGAGCCGCTAAACTTCATCCCCGTTGATGTGGAGAAGAAAGAAGAGTGATTAGCCAGCCGTAATGGCGCCCCCATATGGCCTTGGTCACATGGTTCGTGACGCAAGGGAAAAGAATCTTGGGGTCATGGGGCTTCCCCTAACCTAGAATCTATCTCTCCGTCATTGGCAGAATCGCTGATTAATGCCTATAGTTCAAAATAGTCATTTTGACTGACCGGAGTCTATGGTGGGTAATTGAACGTGGTGAATTGATAAGCGTTGAGTCTGATAAGAAAGCAATGTCACAATTTGACCTTTATGATGAAATACTAGTAGTGATGTCATTCTTAGCCAATCAAAAAAGCAGATGCATAAAGGTCAAAGATGATTGCCAGACTGTAAACAAAAGAATCGTGTGCCATCGCAGCAGAGCGACCCAATTTTTCTTGTCTCTTTTTCTTGGCAATGAATGTACAAATAAAGATCTGAGAAGTTTTTTCAAACAACTATGAATTTTTATAATTTTTACTGTGTAAATTTGTAAATTATTATTGATCTTGTATGACTGAGTTCGTAATTTGTCAAGGCCGGAAATCATTTTACACAGTTTAACCTCTGACATTTTAATTCATTTTGAGTTCACGCGTATTGGACGTGTTGTCGGTGGGAAAATCTTAATTTAAATGATTCCTCACTGTTTAATTATTTCTGGTTTATTTGTCACATAATAAGCAATACATTATTTTTGTTTTACTTCTAATGTTGCATATTGTTCATTTATTTCTGTTGCATGTTTTCATTTGCCGTTCTATTCCATGCCGCAGTTCGATCTGCGTGTTGTCAATTTTCCTGAATTTTCGTTTATTTTGCCGGGGATATCCTGGCAAATGCCCACCCCTTTTTTTGGCAATTTTCCATGTTCGGGACCCTGGGCTTATACCCGGATAAATATGGCCAATGGAATGACACAACATTACCGGTATTCATAAAAATAAATGGGCTTGAGAAACTGTCAACAGATTTGCAAAAATTGTCTCTCATCAATACAAACATAACACTGAAAATTGCATGTCAATTTATCTCCATTTTTCTTGTGTGAGTAATGCAATGTTTCATGTCTGTCTTTGACAATTATCTACAAGTTATTTACCATTATTGCATTACATGGACGATCTACAACATCTTTTTGTTCATGGGAGGCTCGAATTTCTCTTTGTCGTTCTTTTTGTTTCTCTGCCTTTTTCCGGGCACCTGTCTTTTTCTTGGGCATCTTGGATGACTAATAAAGTTCAACTGTTGACAGAAAAAGAATTGGTACATCACGGTTACTAAAAAAGAACCATGGGTACATTTCTGATACATGTCAATTTATTTGTCTTGCTTCCTAACATAGAACAAACATAGAACCATTTATGTATAAACCACTAGATGTTCAGGAGACAGTTCATCTGTCAACATGGCTAAATTACACCAGTTGTCATGCAACTCATGTGAGAGTTTAATGTTAACAAACATTGTATATGTGTTGTATTACGTGGCACCATCACATACATATACATGGATGGATGTCAAATACTGGTAACAGTCAACACATTGAGAAACCAACAAGTATTTCAAACAAGATGCAGTAAGATGTTAGTTTAATTAATGTTCATAAGAAATAGATGACTATTAACATAATTATTTACATTTAAATTTCTCAGGAGCAGGAACTGTGGTATGTGTGTGGGGGGGGGGGACTAGATTTGACTTTTTGGAAACATTTTATTCACATATGCCTGGTAATTTTTTTGTTATTTATTTAATTTTCCCAAAAATTCTTTTATTGTGTGCAGTCATTATGCTGTCTTGTTCACTCTTCAGCTACAGTACTGTTTTTTTTTTTACAAAATCCTAACCCACCCAACGTTTTCAACTGTCAAATATTCTAACTACGGCTTGCTGTGATTAACAAAAGTAGACAGAACGATAGTACTGTTGCACATGAATTCTGTGACCACAACACTGTAAACGGTTATCATGAAAACAATAATCATTTACTTTACCTGCCTGCCAAACGTGTTCTTCTCGTTTTTAGTTAAAAAGACCCTTTAACCATTTGCTAATTCTGACAACGTAACTATTTCAATATTACAAACGGCGATTTTAAAACCAACATTTAGAAATGTGGAGCAAGTTAATGCATACATTGGTGTCATCCTATCTATAAAGCTAATTTTAGAAAAAAATAGATAAATATTAGTTGGTAAACGTACAATCATCACAAAGTCAAAATGTTACTTAGAGGGCCTTCGAGATTGGTGGCGCTCATGCGCAGTAGAATGAGTTTAGCGCCATCTTGGTCTGGTTCGTGTTGATGTTATTCCAACAACATTTTAAGTGAAAAAGAATCTGTTTTGGTAAACTACTGATACAATCCGCTGTGCCCCGCCATGGGCCTTTTACCATTGGAATTTCGTGACTGTTATTTGGACAGCCCCTATTTCCGTGAAAACGTTCATCGTCATGAGCAAGAACTGGAACGGACGAACGTAGCCATCAAACAGTTGATAAAGGAGGGTAAGGCCCTTTTGGGAGCTGCAAAAAGTGAGTAACGTTCTGGGTACTTAAAATCTGGCACATCTGTTATGTGCATTAATATAGAGACTGTCAGCGTTTTTGTGACCGGTCCGAAGATTGTTGTTTGACATATGCCAGGATAAGCGGACAAATGTTTGTTGCGATCGGGCATGCTTTTGTGAAGTCTGCGTATCACCGGGAACATTGACACACAGTCGTGTTCTTGTAATATCCCCTCCGAAGCTGAAGGGCGGTTTCACAATCAAGCATGAATTTACACCTGATCGCTGACATAAAACGAAAAGAATTGATGCGCATCACTGCGTTCAAGTGTTTGTCAGTAATGTGTGAACCGATCATATACCCAAGCCGACGTTCATTTATAGTGGTAGATACAAGTTTTTGTTTAATTCAGTCCCGTTAAGTTTTCGCACTCGGTCATCTGGCTTCTCTTCCAATACAGCGGCATGTCTACAACCCAACCCTCCGATCCGCTCCACCCAAGACAGCAAGTCACCTCTCGTACAAACTATTCTCATGTACACCTGATTCAGCATGCATAACTAATCAGTAAAGATAATGTCATTTTATGCTTGGTGCTTTTTTTTCTTAAGTATACATGCAGTGCGGTTTGAGTCATTTGTCTGTGGTATGATGTCATAGATATATCGCTCCTTATGTATATGATAAGTATTCAGAATGATGTGAACAATGCATACATTAAATTAATATGATGTATTTTGTCAGATTTGCAAACATTATTATTTAATATTGCATTTGAATTGAAAAAATAATGTAAATTATTCATTTACTGATTATATATTGTTAGATTAAAATCTTCATATTAAATGTACACATAATAAATAATATATGCTATATATTTTCTCGTTACTTTTGATTAAAACAGGAAATTAATTAATTAATTAATTAACATTTGTAGACATTTAAATAAAATTAAGAAATTGTGACTAAAATTTTTTTTTTTTTAATCTGGAAAAATCTATTATAATCATTATTCAATTCCATTGACAGTAATTGTAATTTGAATGATGATAACAAACAAGATCATTATTATTTGCAAAACAAAAAAAGCTTGAAATTTAATAGAATGTAATATTTGAGTTCTTTTTTAAGTTCATTAACCTTTAGTTTAAACTAAAATAATTATTTGTTTGAGCTGATCAGCAATGTTTGCACTCTACAAGATACTTTAACACACATTACCTGGTAATACTTCAGTAAAAAAAAAAAGAACTTGTCAACTACTTCAGTTCTGCTGCCTCTTGATACAAATGTTTTTCCAGAGTTCTAACTAAAGTTCTGTGAGTCATAGTGTATATTACTACCGTACTCCATGTTCAGACAACTGCTTTTCTGTTTCAATGTTGTTGTTTTTTATAAAGAACCAGTTTCATTTTAAACCCTAATGTTTGTTATTAATTTTTTATCTTCTTTCAATATTGTGTTTACCAATTTATTAAAAAAGTCGATGAGTCATTGAAAATACTATTAAATGTTTTGCAAATACTACCAGTAGGTTCCATTTCAGCAAATATTGCTCAATTCATTAATTAGCATAACTTTAATTAAGCCCATTTACTTGATTCCTGAATTGCAGGACAGAAAATTGAAAAAAAAAAACGATCCAACTTTCTTGGGATACAATTTGATTATGTTCATCATCTTGAAAATATTGTGCCATCGTTCATTTTTGGGAATTTGCAATTCCTAATATGGTAGGCTGCAAGTACCCAAGGGTCGTTACACTGAAAGTATGGCACATTACAATTTATTACAAATGTAACATAACATATATATAACAATGTGAATTGTTGATAAACATTGCCTGTGTAATTCAATACAAAACTTATGTTTTTAATAGTAAAAACCCAAACAGAAGGTTGTAACCCCCTCAATGGTGTTTCCGTAGCCATTACTAATAAGACTGGAAATTGTATTGTAGTAGACATAACATTAGCTTAAACCAAAAATTATATTTATAACATACATGTATGCTG